CCCTCTTCCCCTGCTTCATTTACCCTCACAGGAGAAAAAACTAGTTTGGCCGGTCCCATCTAGGACACTGTTTCACTGAATATACTATTAGGCAGAAACCCCCAGGCCACCTGAGAGCAGAGTTGATAAACAAAGCCAAGGTTCCCTCAGTGCCATGTCATCTTGTCCTCTTTTCCTTCTCAGATGAAGACTTGGACCCTGGGGAGTTCTCCTTGATGGGGAACTCAGCTGCTGAGAAGTTGCTCAAGGCTTAGGTGAGAAGGAAAAGACTGCTCAGGTCATGACCAGAGAGCTCGGTTTTGGAGCCCCAGACTGCTGGTGAGCTACACATACAACAGCCCATGCTGTCTCATTTGTCATTGTTTTTTGTGTGCAGAGCTGCTTCAAGAACTTCATTTTTCAAAAAGTGATTGGCAAGGCCTTCCTTGGGCATGCTCTCTTCCCTGCCTATAACACAGAGTGCCAGCACAGTCCCTCTAATATTCATCTGTGTGTGTTATAGACAAGATTTTAACACTTCTTTAATTAAAAATAGTGACATAAAATATTACCAGGATATCTAAAGGGCAAATAATTTTCTGTTTCTTCTGGAACTCTACCCCATACCAAAGGAAAAGTGACATCATATAGATGAGAATCAAAAGAACAGACAGAGATAACAATACCTGTCCTACTGAAATACTGGTGTGAAGATAAAAGATGCTTGAGCCAAAGTGTTACATTGCAATCATGGAAATGTAGAAAGACAATAAATCTCAGATTTTCATAAAATTCTATCAGTGTAACATGTTTAGCCAGAGGACAGAATTTACTGTGGAAGATGCAAAAGAAATACTAACATACCCTGGAGCACCTGACTGTGGTCCAGGTGCTGCTCTAAGACTTACTTGTTTTGTGCCCTTTACTCCTCAGAAGTCCACGAGGCTTAGAAGAGTTTTTGTGATTAGCCAAGATTAAAAACATAGAAGGTAGTGAAATCAGGATTCAAACCAGGCAGTGGTCCGATTCCAGAGTTTGTACTCTTAACTTCTCCCCAGTGCTGCCTCTGTGAACATATCTTCCAATAGATAGTACTTATTCAAGAACAGAATATGCAAGGACCTGCTATGTGCAAAGCAATCCAGTCGATGCTGCATGAAATACTGTCATTCATAAGTTATGGTGCCTGTTCTCAAAAGAGTTGACAAACCTGTAATGCTCTAAAGCATCACAAATATCTAATATTCAGTGTGTATAAATATATATAGGTGTAATATGAGTAATGATAAAGTAAATTGTACAAGAAATAGAAGAGGGGGAAAGGCTATATTGCATGCTAGGAAGCCCTTGGCTAAATTCTTTTTAGGGATTTCCTTCATTGTGATACAGAAAATCTTGGATCACAAGTTAGATTTTAGTACTACATGAAAATAAATGACATGATTTTCTCTGTTCCAAGCTGCAGAACTATCAGGAACATGCTTTATCCTGATTGAAGTTAAAAAACCAACTAGTCACTTCAGATTTACATTTCTACATATGATGACCACATGTGTTTTGAAGTATTTATTAATCAAAAGTAAATAAGTGAATAAGATCAAACTCTTCACTAGCTACTTGGCTTTGATAAATTGTCATCACTTACTTCTGTTCTCTATCAATAGATTAGCCACAATGACTTCAATTCAGTGCATAATTATTCCACATCTACTGTGCGCAAGGCATGGTGGTATGTCTGGTGGCATGGCAGCAGGGCACATAGAGGCGAAATGCATCAGTGATTGCCTCGGGGAGATTATACACTAGTTTAGAAGGCTGGTAAGTAAATGGAGTCATTTTAAACATAACCCCCCCCCCACCAAAAAAAAAAGAAAAATAAACTTCAGATGGTTGGAACACCATCTGCTTGTGCTCCTTTAATCCGGGCTGCAGATTTCAGTAATTGGTATTCATGAGGTCATTCTCAGAGCTCTTTGTCTTCCACAAAGAAAAGCATGACATGAACCTTAATAAGCATGACTCTGGTAATTTGTGTGAAAACTAAGGATACTATTTTATATATAACTTCTAATTTTCATAAGTTTCTTGGGCCAAATGAAGTCTATTATTATTTTTAATGCAATAGCTTTCCAAAAGTTTATTTTTGTTTTTGCTCTGCCCTGGGGATCACAGTCAGCCCTGTGATCACCTCAGTAGTTCTTTCTGCTTCTCAATCATTTCTTCCCATTTGTGGTTGAAATTTCTTAACTTTTAAATTTTCCATGATGTTATGGCTTTCCTTCCTGAATTTGGTCTATCAGGATGTCCAGAGACCTGCATCAAAATAATAACAATACGCTCTATTAAATAACTTTCTTAAATTATATGGTCTTTCGAAGTTTCTAAGTTTCAGAAATTTCTCTAAGGAATCAGCTCAACAGGCACAACAGGGGAAATTAAACTAGTCTGGGAATATCAGGAAGGCATTTCCATTGGTCTGACAACCAACCATTAAGGAGAGTGAGTTCAGAATTGCAAAAGGCAGGACAAGTGATCACACAGAAGTTATGTGACTAGCGGTTGTCATTCTGAAATGCCTTGTCTTCATACTTCTTTCAAAGGGCTTTTAAAAGGAAAATAAATGTATCAGGAGAACCTAAGACAAGCTTTTCTCTCCTTGCTATGGTGATAACTAGCTCAAAGCAATCATCAACCAATTAATCGATAAGATAAAACGAAGAAATGATCTCTGGTATTCTATGAAGGGAATGTGTATCATACACAAGGGAAAGTATAAGCAAATTTTGCAATTTAATGGACAAGCTACTCAAACTTTTCACTGAAATATATGTTGAGCCCTATTACCTGGGGCACAAAAGGAATGATCTTCTGAGTTTCCTCTCTTGTTTCCTTAGATCCTAAGAAATTGTTTAGATTGGCAAATAGTCTGTAAACAGTCTCATCGCTGTGAACAACCTGTCATTATAATAACTGAAGAAAAATAGTTCAAAATGAACTGATAAGACAAAATTATATATACAAAATAGGCATGTCTAGGTTTTATTTCAGTATAAATCGTATGATTTACTTGAAGTTTTTATAACTCTACAAATTATTTCTTTATCCTTAGCTTAAAAAAAGTAGTGAGGCACTTGTTTTGTTAACTGATTGCTTTTGAGCAGATTATTAGCCGAATTTCTACAAGTAGTTTTGGTTTGGGGGGGGGATTTTTTTTTTTTTTTTTGCAAGAGGGAGAGAACTCTTTTACATTTCAACCGAATTCTATATAATCTAGCCAGCTGGACTCAGTGGAGTTCTCTGGGCTAGATTTAAAGAAGCTCCCTATAGCTAGGAGTGAAGATCTTTTTTCCTCTAGCTTACAAAACCAGCTAGTCCGCAGTTAACCTCAGACATTTCATAAGGGTCATTATTGACACCCTAAATTTTGTTTGCTTGTTCAGAGACTGTAACATTTCAATACCTTTTCTCTGACTGACATTGCTAATATTTCTGAGAAGTGTGCTTTGAATGTTTTGCAAGTAAAAGACCAGAAAGTAGAATTACATAGCATAAAACTGAAGCTTGTCTTAGGTTCATCTCCAGTTGCAGGAGCTGTTACGTCTTTGACTCAATGAACATAAAGTAGGAGTGGAAAAAAAATACAGAAATACTTTTTGAAACAATGTTATTAAGACAGTAAGAAGAAGAGTAGAAGCAATTTCTGAACATTTCAGAAAATTTGGCCCAAAGGAAGCTAGTCAATATGACTTTTAAGAATCAGATTACCATATTCTTTGGTGAAGATAAGCAGGAGGACAGATGTGCATTTTCCTTAGCCAGTGATGAAACCACTGTTTCTTTTAGTTAGACACACTCTCTACATGCTCTCTGTATTTTATCTCAGGTATATATATATATCTACAAGTAACAAAAGTGTAACTTTAAAAAAAATAGTGTTATAAACTAAAGAAACACTAAACCATGGAAAATCACTGTTTGTTCATGAATATACCTGAATCAGTACAAGCTCTGTAAGGTGAAGCCCGGATGTAACCTACATATCGTTTGGTTGTTCTACTGCCTGACATTTTTCCTCAACCCTTTGTTGTAGAGAAAGACAGCAGCCGACCCATCGCACTGCCTAGGAAGAAAAAATGACACTTGTTTACATTAAAAATTTCACAAAATGCGGTTTACACTAAATAATGTCAAGAAAAGGAATTAGCAAGAGGGAATTTTAAGGTACCCACAGGGCACATTTTACTTAGAAAAGGAGTACCTGAGATCTAGGCCACTAATAATGAAAGTAATTAAAGTAGCACTTAAGTTGCTGAGTATCACAACAAAGTAAAGCTGTAGACAGGTTTAAAGTTTAGAAAGCTTTTGACACCAATTAAGGGCTGACAATTTTCATTGTTGCTGTTTTCTTAATTTTCTTCTTTTCTACTTAATTGAAATAAGCTTTCCTATTTGGTCTTTGTCCTAAGTTTACACTTAATACACTTAAGTCAATCAATCTTCTTAGTCCTTAGACATTTTACCAATTAACTGTGGACCAAAAAGATGCCTAAATGATCTGCTACCCACAATAAATTTCCCAGTCAGAAATTGTCCTTGTGATGTATTTTATGCCAACATATACTTTCTAACATACTAAATAAAACCGTAAGTTTATAAACAGGAGAAATACTTTGCAATTCTATGAGCAGTGAACTGTTTTGCCACAATACAAAGAGAATCCAGTGAAACCGAGAAACTGGCCTCATATATACAGGAGATCTTAAGTACACATGGTGACTAAAGCACAACTTCAAGAAGTCAGAACTGCACTGAGCAGACACTAGGACAGGAGAAACATTTGTTAGGTTTGCTTCTGGAAGAATAAGACAAAATAATCCACTGCTTTTTAGAATAACAAACATTTCCCAACAAATTACCTTCATTCTCTCATTAGCTGTAGATAAACAGGATAAGTGGATCTTCTCACATCTTCTGGACCCCTTAGAATTTACCTGAATCACACCTAGAGGAGGGCTCTCAAGATTTCCCAGCAGCACCACCACCACCCGGGCACACATAAGAAATCCAACTTTGGGGCCCCATCCAGAGCTACTGAATGGGAAATTCTGGGGGTGGGACTCAGAAATCTGCATTTCCACAAGCTCGCCAGTGGTTTCTGATGTTGTTGAAGTTCGAGACCCGCTGAAGAAAGAGTTATTTCCCATTCGAAAGCAAACCCAGATCATAATAATATGACCAGCTGACTCAGGAGCTGAGTTGGGTGAGGCTTGGCTATTCCTCCAATAAAGGTCAGCTGGTAATTACCTTGCCTGCTAATGATTCTATAATATTTCAGTACAAGTGAAGATTCATACTGCACCATTTCATTTGCTTTTGGCCCTAGGTAGCTATTTAGGGTCATGGGTCATTTATGAGCTAAGCGTAACTTAAAACAGCTTAAAGGAAAATAAAAGTTTCAATTCATAATTAGTATTTGGCTCATCTAATATTTTTATATTTTCCTTTTAGGTAAACAGCCTTAAAAATACTGTGTTACTATGTTTAAATCAGTTTGCATACACTGAACATTC